CCGAACATTCTGGTAGAAGTTCACCGACGCCGAATATTCTGGTAGAAGTTCACCGACGCCGAACATTCTGGTAGAAGTTCACCGACGCCGAATATTCTGGTAGAAGTTCACCGACGCCGAACATTCTGGTAGAAGTTCACCGACGCCGAATATTCTGGTAGAAGTTCACCGACGCCGAACATTCTGGTAGAAGTTCACCGACGCCGAATATTCTGGTAGAAGTTCACCGACGCCGAACATTCTGGTAGAAGTTCACCAACGCCGAACATTCTGGTAGAAGTTCACCGACGTTTCAGAGGTGCGTACTGTCTAAATCATCAGGATGATGAGGCACCGCCCTGATAATGGAGGCAGTAAGGACCTCTTAAAAGCTGGCAAACATCTTCCAGACTACACGGTGTAACATTTTAGAAAGAGAGTCATCTTCATATTCACCGCCATGAGAATCTGAAATCTCACATTGACCTCACATGTATGGTATTTCTCGGGCTTTCAGGAGTCATATCAATTTATAAAAGTTCTGCGTGATTATTAATATATTATTAACATTTAACTCATCTGTTATTGGACATCCGAATGCTGAGTTAATACGTAACAAGTCAAAATATTGTTTTAATTTACAGTACGTCATAACAGACACTTCTGTGATGAAGTAAGCTTGTAAAACTCAAAATATTTGTACCTCTGAGGATAGTGTGATACGGGCCGAAATATGTGAGATTAAAACATGTGAATGGTTAGTAGTATTAATGGTTTTAGTTAATCAAAGTACAGAGTATGCTCTTAAGAAAGGAACGCAAAAATGAGTGGAAGAGAGAAGGAATAAAGAGAAGATTACAAAGAAACAACGATTTATGTAGGTTTCTCTGAATAGGCCAAAACAGTTTCACGTGCTTTGTTTCAATGGCCCATTAGTTGTCATCATACACTAGGTAGATAGATATTGAATTATGCGCTCGCCATGTCATGATTGTAAATTCTAAAAAAATATTACTTTGGTAAAAATTCCTTATTTTTCGAGGGTTTATTACGACATAAAATATCAAGCCTAACGTCATGGTGGGTGGGTCGCCACCGGTACTTGATATTTGGGATGTCGTGGGTTCGAATAAATGACCATTCGATTGGCCATCTTGGCTGAATATTTTTTGAGTTTTTTTTAAATTTCTCTATGCAAATTTTAGTATTGTACCTTTAAGTCGGTCACTACCACTCCCTTCCACATCATAGCCAATTTACAAACAAGTCTAGGGTACATTCACCTATGTAGTTGAAACAGCGTCGATAAATATACGAAGACCCATCGATCACAAAATTAACTCCCATCTCAGACGTTCATAGGGCTACCAAAAGTATTGTTGATATTTGGAATTGACCTCTAGTGACATGATGTTCGTACAAAATCTCATGAAAAAGTGTCATTTGGTCCATATGTTAATGGTGAGCGGGCACACATATATTGTCATACGGACATAATGACTTGTCTTATCTTTCGTAGGCCTATAGTGAAAACAGGCTACAAATTGTTCCATAAATTAATATTTTTTTTGAGTCAGGCGCGTCTATTTACAACAAAGAAGGCATAAAAGAACGTAGACATCGCATTTCAATTAAAATACGAGGTCCGATCGGAAAGTTTCAAGACTGCGCCTATAAAAACCCGTACACTTATCTCAGGTATTAAATTCATCCATCACCCTCGAAGTAGTTCCCCTGGGAGTGAACACAACGATCCCAGCGCCGCTG